TCTTCGACACCTAATGTAGTACGGTTAAATGTCTCCCATATTTTGAGTGTTTCGTTCTTTATTGCTCCAATTTTATTGCTCCGATATATTTCGCCCTGTTATGTGATAAGCGCTTCATTTCGGTGTTCGTAGATACTTTCTTGATCTCATTTACCGCTCGTTACAAGACTTTCCTACCTCCTACTGATTTTTTTATGATCCTTTGATATTTTCACACCAAAGAAAGTTGAAATGAAGGTCTTCAGAGAAAATAGCTGGAAGTAACCTCTTTACATTTTTGGATTGGCTTTGGGCATGGATATAATCTTTCCAACAACTCAACGAAAAGAGGTTAATTTATTTTAAATGATTACTTTGAATTGTTTAAAATATGAAGTGGCTATTAAAAGTATTACATTGAAGTTTAAAATTACTTTTTTAAATCTGTAAAAACTTTTAAAATCTCGAAATACCTGGAAATTAAAATACCTAATTGCAAAAAATCTGTAATATCTTGCAATTTTTTGCAAAGTTTTAAATAATTTACTTTATTTTTGAGTGGTTTAGGCAATTTTTTTGTCTTGAATAAGAAAGAATTGTCAGTTCAAAATCGATACGTTAAATGTAGCAAGGGACAAAGTTGTATTATCGCATCCATTCTCTGCATGGGAAACAACTATTCACACGTCACAGAAATTTCCATGGCAATAAATTGTCGGAAAGTTCAGAGTTGAAGGAGGTAAAGATACTGTTAATTAATTTCTTCTCAATACTGAGTAAAACATATTATTTGCTATTAAAAAATAACCTTAAAACTGAAGCCATGATAGGAATTATTATAGCGGATGATTTCGTTTCATATTTTATTTACGATAATAGTTTTGGTATTAATGTATACCAACGTGTAAGGAATAATATACTTGTGTAGTACATATTTCATTTGCAATGTTTTAAGTGAAAAAGTCGTCAGAGTAATCATCCACACAGACCACAAGTATAATATTTGTTGGATTGTGGCAGCTTTCTGCCACAATCTAACAAATGAAATACAATGGGTTATCAATTGCAAAATAATATACAAAGTATTAGCAGGATGAGAAATCCCAAATGATTCGAAAATTGCATATATATTGCTTTAAAAAGATGCTCTTAAAAATGCGTATTGTTTTAAATCTTCGCCTATTCTACACTTTTATACACTTAAATAATTTTGCGTTATGTACTATAAATAAGTCAGATTTTCAAAAAATATTTTCTGACTGTGAGTTACAGTATCTCCAGAAGATTAGGACCTTACAAAGATTATTTATGTGTCCTGGACGTAACCACAATTTATGCAGCCCATGCAGACCATTAGTGTTTTTATTTCATTACGTGTCTTGTTTCAACTTAACAACTTTAATATGCCAGGCAGATAAAGAATTCTGAGTAAACATTTCCGTTCAACTTCATCGGTAAAATTTGCATCATACATTAATAGACAGTAACAATCTGCAAAACTCCTCCTGAAACAATGTAAGTCTTTGAACTGTACTGTAAGTCTTAGAACTTTTTGCAGGGACTATAGAAAGTGACGTAAGAATATTTGCATGAGCGCATATCGTCACAGGAAACCCTAATGTATTCCAATATCTAAAAAGTATTTATTTGTGTTATCGGACATTTCATCCTCATCACTTGCGGTTCTCATTCTTTGTCGACCACTGAATCTTTAGTAATTCTTGATCATTACGGTTATCCTCACCTTTCGAAATATCATTACATTTTTCTACCCCCTTCCAACCACTGTGTGAGTGAACCACTGAGTATTATAGTTTCACTTATACTGATTGCTCACTACAATCACTTCCAAATTTTAACGCAAGTGACGATCGACTTTGTGAGTCGGAAGCTGTTGAGCGAGTGGTCGCGTGGACAACTCCAAGCTCTACCCGCAGATTATCGCAAACACGGTTAACAACCACGTTAGTTTGATTTCGCGACAAATCACGAAACGGACACATGTACGAAACATTTTGTCAAGTTTCGCTGTAAAAAGGGAATTAATAAAACTGTTAGATTACGTTAGTAATGTACCCGATCATTGTAATAATCATTAATTTCGAATTGAATGAAATGACCGAGTTCTTGAATTAACGAGAAAACGCGTTAAGCCATAAGCGAAATCGGAGTGAAAGTGAATAAATCAGCTCATCTAAATACTCTTTCAATACTTTCGATTCACACATACAATTCAAAACGTTTAAGAATAACTTCATCTGCACCCTAGTTCTTAATAAATGCTGCACTTTGCAAAGATCTGAATATTGCAACAGTTCAAGAAAAGATTCCAGACAAGTTCAAAGTATCACCAACGTCTGAAAATGCATCCGCATCATCTAGCTCGAAACTTACTTGACAATAGCCAAGAAATTTCTCTAGTGAATAGAATTTCCACTCTTCATTTCCCCCTCCCGTTTTAATAATTAACATTGATCTAATCATGTTCTCTTATTTTGCTCTAAAATGTTCATATATTCTTAATCCTTCTAACCCTTAATAATGTTTTAATGATATTTTTACTATAGATTTGAACAGGATCCTAAGAAAAGTACCAATGGGTGACGTTCTTCATTTCATTTGTTATTATTGTTCACATTTATGGTATTTACTTATTATTTCCCATTTGAAACATATAGCAAATATTCGACGAACAAAACGAAAAAAAACAAAAAACAACGAAATACACCAACACACACACACATGTACGTTGCTTCCTTGTCTTCCCCCCCTCCCGCTCTGGCAGTCCCACGTGGGCTTCCCCACCACAGCACATCGCTCCTCATCCTCCTTTGCGCGACGAAGACAACAGCTGGACGATGGCGGTGCCGGAGCCGTTTAACTCGGAGATGGCGAAATCGGAAAGTGCGAAGCACATGACATAATACAATACGCAAAGACGGTTGCATATGCGATAAAGCTTGTTTATTGTGATCTGTGTTGGGAAGAAGTAGCAAATCAAGACATCGAGACTGAGGAAAGCTGCAATATCACTGTACAGGTGCAGTAGTCAGTTTCCACAAGTAGCACGTGTGGTAAAAAGTTTGTAATAACTTCTGGTCACTTGTCAGACCGTCAATGATGTAGTGTGAAGGGAAGTGCCCATTCAATCTGTAGCGGAGACAACGCAGTACGAAATGACTTTGATAGGGGGCAATGTAATGAAAAGAATTATATATATGGATGCTACTGCAAAGAAGATGATTGAGTGGTGTGGCAGTTAAGGATTCAAGGAACAGATGACATCAAGCTCATGCTGGGTAGACATTACAGAAATGCACATGATAATTCAGTCAAACTTCGAGTGGAATACCAATATAAATAGAGTGAACTCTAACTTACGTCCACTGTGTTAAACATTCGGAATTCTTTCAAATTCAGTCAATCTTCGTATGGATCATTTCTTGTATTTTAAGAATATACATTCCCGTCCGACATATGACTAATATTCTGCGGAAACACATCCTATACTACTCAGTCCTTTTGATTACAAAAACAGCGTACGAATAACAAACTAATGCCATCCATGTTATTCCTGCAAGACTCTATTGAGCTTGGAAAACTACCATTACATTGCTTAATAATGTAAGAATCATTGTTTTTGATAAACCCGCTTTATTAAGGATGAAAACGCATTTTTAAACAATAAAAATGTATATAAATTAGTTACAATTTGTAAATGCATTAGTAGTTATAATTTGTACTGTATGTTTCTCAATGGCTAAATATGTCTGTAACAAGTGTACTTCAGGATCTAAGTCAATCACTTTTTGATTAGATTTTGATTTCGTGCAGCATCCCTTCGGCCATAGATTAAATGCTGAATGAGAATGCCTGAATGAAAATTACAAGACCGCTATCATGACCGATTATGATTTTTATTTTCTTGCTACGGAGTAGAGAGAAAGTTATATAAGGCTCCGCAAAAAAAACGGCAGAAAAACTCTTATCACAGGGCTCTGGTAACGAAAGAGTGCATAAATCCAGTTGCTATATTGGAAAAAACATCCTCTAACATGTGGTGTAGCCAGAATTCATATTTCTGTTTTGTGGGTCCTTGATGCCAAAAAATTGCATAACGTCAAGACGTCTGTCTGACGGTGTTTGAAACACGCTAATGGCTAAACCGTTCAGCGGACTTTCTCCAAAATTGATATTCCTCAATCTTTTTGGCTAATGTGGCGACCCCTTGAATTTGAAACCGATATTTCAGTTTAGGGTTGTATTTTACATCAAGCCCATGGCACATTTTCCAAATAAAAGAATAATGGCTCCATCGTTTTTGATTACATTTTGTTATTGGATAGTGCGAAGAACGTTTGAGGTAATGTTGCAGGTTTCATGTTTGTTAAAATCTCTGATTTTTAGAAAATTGCAAAAATATTCAAAATGTTTTCGTAATTCCTGACTCGTGATTCCTAGCGCGTCGAAGGCGACCGTCATTAGTACCGTAAGTGTAGTACATGCTTTTGTCGCGTGAGGTGCCCTGCTGACGGGCGAGTTCCTAGGCCGACCTGTGTCGTATAACAGGAATTGTCCCGAAACAGGAATCTCCCACCAGCATGGCAGCGCTCCAGCCTGGACAAGCTCTGAGCTCCCGACATGTGTGGTAGTGTAGTGCACATAAGGGTAAGCGTTTGTAAATAAGGAGTGAGGATAGGGCAAGGAAGAGGAAGGTGAGATCGCGCGCGGTCTGTTTGTTTGGCCACTGCTATTGATGTTACAGATGAGACAAACCAAGAAAAACAACCGCTGAGAACAGCCGGCCTCTAAAAGTCTCCCCCAGGCCCTGTCGTGGCTTCAGTTGATGCTCTGAGCCACCTTTGCCGGTAAGCGCGTGTTGGAGCATTGGTAGGAAGAGCACCTAAACAACCTTCCTCCGCCAGTGACCCGCGTGCAGCATTTGCGAGCGCCGCGCCCTCAGCCCGGAGAGAGCGCGGCCGCTCCTCACCTGGAAGCAGACGCTTTGTTTAGGCGCATAGCTGCGCGCGGCGGCAAGCGGCGGCGCGGCGGGGCGGAGGGATGGGTGGGCGCGGCGGAGCGCGTCGAGCGTGGCGTATAAAACGCTGCTGGGCCCGCGCATGGCTCACTGCTTCGCGAGCCACGCATGTGGCGCGGCCGTCGCCATGACTCCCCGGAGCGCTCTCCTGCTGCTGCTGGCCCTCGCGCCGCTCGCCGCCGCCGCCTTCCCCGTGGACGAGGGGCGGGACGACTACGCCGCAGAGACCGACAGCTACGGTAAGGCCCCTGGCGCGGCTCCCTTGAAATTGGGACTGCATCCATTCTACTATTTGGATTGAGAATTCTTCCACTCCACTATTTGAACCGCAACTGCATTTCAACTATAACAATTTCTATCCTACAATTTGAACTGTGACAATTTCTATCCTACAATTTGAACGGTGACTACTGTTATCCTACAATTTGAACTGTGATCACTTCAAGGCTACAATTTGAACTGCGATTACTTCTAGGTTACCAATTGAACTGCGACTACTTCTAGGCTACCATTTGAACTGCGACTACTTCTATCCTACCCTTTGGACTGTGACTACTTCTATCTTTCCATTGGAACTGCGTATTTCCATCCTATCATTTAAACTATACTTATTTCTATTCTACCTGTTGAATCGTAATTATTTTCATTCTACCCTTTGAATGGAGTTAGAGTTTAGAGGGATGTTGCTTTATTAGGGTTTACATCCACGTTATAAACGGTGTTGTGAAGATGTTTTTTCACAACCGTAAAACAATTAAGGTCTTTGAGGTTCATAACGCCACTCACCTCTTCCAACTTACCATCTGGTAATATAAACATAACGGTAATATTACGTTGTAGTTGTATGTCGAATTATCAATGGAGTTTTTTTCCATTTCTCGAAATGGTATGGTTGCAAGGTATCTCAGGTTTTAAAGGCCGCTTAAAGGTTTTAAAGGCTCCTCCACTTCGTCTGTTGATTCAAAGACGATGACGATGTCGATTTGTAGTTTTAGATCCATCTTGTCAATTGATTTTTTTAAAAAGATAAATATGCTGTGGCTGATATGATCCCTTATCTCCATTTACCATAGCAGAAATTCACCATTCATCATAGTATCTGGTAGTTTCAATGAATTATCGGTTAATTTCATTTCATGAGCACGTTTTAAACGGATTTCTTTTTAATAGTTTTTAGATAGTAAGGCCTCTAATTTCCAATGTGCGTCTTGCCTCTTCGACCCTAATGGCTGTTAATAGAAAAATAATAATTCAATGCAATATCAGTTTATTAGGTTTTGTGCCCCAACTGATTTCTTTTCTATTTCAAAGCCCGCGACAATGACGATACATACGCTCATCACTGGAAGCCACTATCTGTTATTCGACGCATATAGTTTTAATTAATAATATTGGTTAGAATTTATGCACATATTAGGATCGGATCCTCACCCATCACAGACTCATTTTATCGAGAAGATACGAGTGCAACGCACACTCACATAGTATTAGATTTTTCTTCATTAAAAACGTTAAGCTTTGGCTAGAATATGTGCTAGACGTGTTCGATTTTTAAGTCTAATGATGACATGATGGCCGTATGTTTTTGAGCTGTTAAGGTCGTTCACCCGTGCCCGTGGTTCCTTCTTTCTTCCCATAGATTCGCAATTGTTTGTCATATTGCCGCTGATAAGTGCAAGGTTTATTTTAGTTTCATATATAGAAAAGCTATTCTTCTCCCATTATTTTGAAAGTTACGAACGTAAAAGTGGGGTTTTATGAAAATAATATAATCAATCGCTTTTTTGATGATACGCTTTATCTAATTGATTAAATAGAATATAACGTAGCTCTCGTTTTTAAACTATTTCAATTGATCTAGATATTAGGTAATATCAGGCAAGCTTCATTTTCTGACAACATGCATTTGTTAATGAATTATTAATAATTTATTCTATCAAAAAGAGGTTTCTACGATATTTTGCACATCTTGGCATTAAAAAAAATATATTAAAAGGTCTATTTGTCATTAAAAATTAGTTTGGTACAAATTGAATCCGTCAATTCACAAACAAACAAAAATATAAGCAAGGTCACTTTTAATCTCATCGTGAAACGAAACATATTTTTAAGGAGGTTATTTGTTACAATGACTGCGTGAGAAAAACTCCGACATGCGTTTTATTTCTTTGCCCCTGTACTTCTACAAGGCCACGTAAAATCAGAATTTTGTCCTTACACTAATTTATGAGTGTAGGATTGTGCAGCTTATTTCTCACTTTCGATAATGATTTTCCTGGAATGTTTCTACTTTTGAATTACAAATTATTTTAAACAATAATTGTATAATTTCAGTTAATAAGTTTTAGATTTTTGTAATGCTTAAATTTGTTAATCATTCGAAGACAGTACAGTTGAAGCTTTATTTGAATTTGACCATGAGTACTGGGAGCCAAGTGCATCGACCTCGAAGTTTGTCATGCATTAGTGAGTTGTTATGTAAATTACTCTAATTATGCGTATTTTCTTTCATAACCTGCAAGGTATTTCAAATCTAATTATTTGTAATAATTGGAAGATTAATTGAGAACTGTGTTACACTAGGGTTGATTAACGTATTTCAGGAGAAAAAAATAATAATTAATTAATTTGGGAAGTAATAATATTGCACAGCATATTAACGACCTAACGGCATTAAAAATTATAGTGAGACCTACCAAACGGCCATCTAGATTCTGCGGACACCTCTAGCGCTCATTTTTGTATGGGAATATTTGATTCTATATAAATATTCCCTATTTGCCCCTGACAAAATGACCAGCGGACAGGACCGAATCGCTGTTGGATCTTTATTAAGGGGTCACCTCAAGTAATTTTGAACTGTGTTATGAAAGTTCTGTAAAAGAAGCGGGGAAATGACAGAGACTACAGTTAATTTAATATCTTCCGGAGAGGGAACGAATTCTCAGATTACTTTGAATAATGACATTCAGAGTCTTATAACTTGGAGGGGATTACTTTCGGTTTCAGACAACAATATATGGTTTTCTTAAGTTTGAGGTACAGATACATAAACGCATTCATGTCTCCCGTCAGAATTCCTATGGTTTGCTAACTCTTAGGAACATATCCTGTGAGAGTATGTTAAGGACTCACGGAACACACTTCGAGAATCTGAATTACAGATCATTCGTTAAACTCCTTTGCTATAAAGTTTCTACTAGGTATGAATTACATCTTCAAGACTACTTTCCGTGTTTGATTCGCCGATGACAGAAACTGAGTTTGTAGACAAAGAGAATGAGTGCCAAGTAAAGAGTGTTTTTTATCCAAGACAGATTGTATTTTGTTTTCAATGATAAATAAAAATGTTAAAGAGAACGTTCTTCATTTTACCGCAGTTTATACAATTTACATTTGATTTAAACGTCCTCTAGCCTCATAACTTTAATTAAGAGGTCATCTTTATTACTAGCCACTTCTCCGGAACAATTGGTGATAGCTTATGTCAGGTTTCACTATATGTTGACGTGACTACATGTTGGGAATGAATATAGTGCTGAATATACGAGTGTAGTGTAATTATTATTGGACAGAATGTTGTGCACTATCATAAAGCTTCTTTTCATAATTTTGGAACGTGTAGAACTATTATAATGCCAAGAATACTAATTTGTGACAAAATTTAGGGTTTTCGTAAATAAAAATTGAAGTTATGACAATCGATCAGTGATAATAGTTCATGATTACATCAATTTTATTCTTTAGACCTGGAGGTTGGTCTGACAGTAATAGTAAATTCCTAATTATAGACCTATATTGCAGTTACTATCTCGCAGTTTATTTATTCATTATTTGCATCCTCTGATCAAGAGAGATTTTTATCAACAAAGAACAGTAAAACAAAACAAAAATGGATCACACACAAACATTGTGCTGGAGCAAGGATATGTTAAAATGGATGAAAAAATACAAGCAAAGTGAAAATAAATTTGATTTCTTGATGATCTCTTTCCGCATTTTACCCGTTATCATTCGGTTCCTTTCACCGAGCCACAACAGGAAGTTCTGAGCTTGTGATGGAAGTTGATATTTTTACGGTGGATTCACCTGCATTTTCTCGTGCGGTGGGCTGTCGGAGTTTTCTCTTTGTACTTCTTCCGGAACGCACGTTGACCGTAAAGCAGTAAACACACCAGCCTTTCGATGGCCAGCGCACCCAGGAGCGGCAACGGGGATGACGTATTGCCTCTAGTACGTTGACGAGTTAAACTAGTGGTATTAAAACAACACGTACTTTTTCGACCGTATTTTCAAACACAAATACTCCAATTTTCGAAACATTGTACATTACCTTATTTCAAAATACATATTAAAGAACCAGATTGTATTCAGGTGAAAAATATCTATCTTTAATATTTTAGTTGTAGAAAGACTCCAGAAAATGTTGAACTTTTGCGAGTTTTGAAAATCAGTTTTCAACGAGCTTCAGAATTGCACCTTTCTCTTAAACGTCCTTCACACTATCCAACAAAAAATGTAATCAAAAACGATGACGCCAATTTTTTTTAAATGTCCCTGGGGATTCATGTAAGCTATACCCCAAAATTAAAAGACTGGTTTCAAAATTCAAGGGTCCGCGACATCTACCAGATCGATTGGGAAATATCAATTTTGGAGAAAATCGTCTGAATTGTTTAGCGTTGTTCACAGACGGGCAAACAGACAGACACGTTTTGCCATCATTCGATTTTTTAGTATCAACATGAATGCTACACCACGCCTTAAAGGATTATTTTTCTAAATTTAGCAACTAGATTTAACCACTTTTTCATTACCAGGACCCTGTAATAAGAGTTTTCCTGCCGAAAATTTCCTTTTTTTCGCGCAGTATTACATAATTTTCTCTCTACTCCGTAGCGAGAAAGTACAAATATTGAAGTGTTAAAAAGGTTGAGGCGCGAAGTTTGTAATCAAAAATGAAAGTAACGACTACTGGTCGCAGAATTATCTAACTTGTTGAAAATCAAACTAATTACATAAAACAAGAGATCAATCTTATCTTATTAAGTAAACTTTGTTGTGAAGTCTTCAATACTGAGACTTTCAGCAACAGTGGCTCCAAGGTGGGTGTTTCAAGTATTTTCACTGAACGTTGGTCCAGAGTTTCATATCTTGTTTCGGAACACACTTCAAATGAAATGTATTACAGCTGTTGGCAGTGCTACCCCAGGGTGGAGTGCGATCTCTAAAGCTGTCC